CTTATTGCAATATCCTGCTTTATTATAACAGGATAAATTTTAGGTTCCCAAGTTTTTTGTATTTCTTTGTTTTCTAAAAACTAATAATAAAAGGTCCCTATTATAAATTCTTAATGACCTTACCACAAAGGTGTATAAACCAATATGATTCTGGTGTTACTTTGGAATGCACATGTAATTCTGAAAGATTTTTTGGGGAACCACCATATAGCTACATTTACTCAGATGTGTCCAAATACTGGGAATCACAAGACAATTTTTTGCAACATAATTATTTTTAACTTGGAAGGAAAAACTGAAAATGTTACTTTTAATTAGTAGCACAAGATTAACTCCATCATCATCTTATTAAAAATCCTTAAACCTTAACCCCTTCCAATTTGTGTTGTTTCACCTGGTTAACTTAATACTGCCTGGTATTTCATTTAAGACATCTCTTTGTCCTAAAACAATTCCAGGTAGTCAACAAACATTTTCGATTGTTTGGAGAAAGGTCGCAATCAGTCAAAAATGTTATAAAAGTGCCAGGCTGACCCCCTTTGATAGTTTATTTAATTTGGGTTGAAATTTGCATGACATAAACGACTTACGTTTTAGGAACACATTGTTGGTCATCTACAAGCATTTTAGTGGGTATGAAGAAAAGTCAAAATTTGGTCAAAGTTTAATTAATATGCAAGGCATGAATTTATTTAAATTTAAATGTACATATACTTGAAACATGCATAAAAGATGCCTTTTAAATGCTTTGAATGCGTTCTGAGTCATCCACAAGCATTTTGAAGAGATTTGCGGGAAAAACAAAATTTAATTAAAATGCAAGGCTAACTAACTCCTTGCAAAAGTGTTAACATTGGGGCAACAATTTTCTGCGCTGAATTTGCTTGAAACCAGCATGAAAGACACCTCTTAGTGTTTAGAACACATCGTCAGTCATCTACAATCATTTTTGATAGGTTTGAAGTAGAGTCAAAATTTGCTCAAAACTGAATTAATATGCAAGGTTAACCCCTTGCAAAATTCTTAAATTTGGGTCAAAAATTTGGTATGCTAAATTTACTTGAAACCAGCATGAAAGACACCTTTAAGTGTTTAGAACACATTCTCAGTCATTTATAATCATTTTAGAGAGGTTTGAAGAAAAATCAAAATTTGTTCAAAATTGGATCAAAATGCAAGGCTAACCCCTTGCAAAATTCTTAAATTTGGATCAAAAATTTGGTATGCTAAATTTACTTGAAACCAGCATGAAAGACACCTCTTAGTGTTTAGAACACATTGTCAGTCAGCTACAATCATTTTAAAGGGGTTCGAAGAAAAGTCAAAATTTGTTTAAAACTG